TGAGTTGAAAAATTAATGTTTTCAGCGCAGGGAAAGTAACGTTTTCACATTTTGCATATATGAATAGCATATAATTGCTATGGTTATCGTTTTTCTATGTTCTCTTGCTCATTCAGTTTGTTACAATTGGAAAATTTGGATGATTCATTTCGGATTTTAGGTAATTTTCATGGGTTTTCCAATGGTTATTATTGATGTTGTATATTGCCAGAAAATCAAAGCGAATGTGTATTGTTTTCAGTTAAAAGTAACAGCTCAGAATGCGCTTCTTCCTGAGAAGGTGGCCAGTCGACTGTTGAGAATTCAAATCAAGGATCTTGACGATAATCAACCATCGTTTGGCGAGATTGATGGGGTAGATTTTATGTGGATATTTATTCATTTTGACAGATTCATGGGAAGAAATGCCATTAGTAAACATCTGAATGCATCTGGAATGAACGAATATTGCACAATTGAGAAGTGCAATCAGACTGATACAATTTCAGTCACTTCGACGAGTTTTCACGGTGGACAATGATCAGAACAGAGAACACTTGGACAATATAGGCACTGTGCACGCAGATGATCCTGATGGAGCGCCATTCAATTCGATTTATTACTATCTACTTCCATCTTGTAAAAATTTGCTTTTCTTTCAATAAGTTTAGATCTGTTTTTTTAAATCAAATCCAGTTATTTCAGCAGATATTTATCATTGCATCGCAATTCCTTGCTGTGGAGAAAAAATTTTTCCCCATTTAGGTTCGAATCGCGATGGAAAATTCTCAATTGATGAGCGTAGTGGAATGGTTCAAGTGAACAATTATGAGGCATTGCAGAGCGCTGAATATCATCTTTGCGCACTGGCCAGGTACGAATCGCTCAGTAAATGCTCTTTTACTGGAAACTTATGTGATGATGTTTGATCTGTGAGGAGTGCATTTGCTGATCGAAATTGCAATTTTCAGTGCGTATCAACAATCAGCACCACCCGAAATAGCGTTTGACAATCGAAACGAGAGTATGCTTGCATTCACCGTTGAAGTAACACCTCTCAAAATGGCTCAACTCTTCCGAGTTCAGTCTGCAATACGTTTCGATAACAACACCATCACGACATTCGGTTTACATTACATTAATGTTTCAATAGTATAACCTTACCACCGTTCTGTCATTACTTCGAATTAGTACTCGAGAATTTCATTGAATTTCGCAATATACATGCTGCGAATTGTGTATAGTTTTTAAAGGTAATCTATTCATTATCAGACATAGCTGTTTGAGGCTATTGAATCCGTTTATGATACCGGCAAGGAACGGAGAATGTGATATGAGTGATATTGGTGATAACAGAGAGGCATAAACTCGTAATGAGTTTGATTTGCTGATTAAATGAGTAAATTTACTCATTGTCAGTCAGAAGTCAATTTCACCTGAATGAAAGACAAATTATTCGTGTACCATTGGTTTAAGCTGAAGTTTCTCGTTGCAGGTGAAAATATCTACACTCCAATTCCGATCACAATGGATCGTAGTGATCCATCGTCTTCAAATTTGGAATATGTTCTGGATTCTGTCGCTTTTATACCGTTAGTTAAATTTGTTGATCGTTCATCTCAAATGAATGTCTTCAAACAGAATGAGCTCATCGAATTTCGTGGATTTCAGTTCTGAGACATCGTCTCAATCAATGGCTGCAGAAACTTCTCAGCCATCTGAGGCCAACGAGTACTTCGTCGTTGATCCAGAAACTGCTAATGTTTATATAGATCCCAGTTTGATGCATCACGACGAGGGTGTTTTCAAATTGCGCATAAATGTCATTCAGTCGACAATGAACACAAGTATGGCTCGTCTTTATAAACAGGTTCGTGGATTTGTTTTGGTGGAACTTATTCAAATATGAGGT